CCAACGCCCGCCCTGGGGAAGGCGGCCTTGCCCGGAGAGCCCGCTCCAGCGCCCTTGTCCCACTCCCGCCTATAGAAGCCTTCCTTCCCCGCAGCTCCTGGGGGCTCCCTTCTGCCCAGACGGGTGCTGCCCGTCTCATGAATCATCCAATCAAGCCTATTAGATTCGCAAATGGACTCAGTGGAATTGTTTAAACCGCTGAAATGAGGACTTTATGTAATTTCCACGTGTCACGAAATATAATTATTCTTCTGCTCTGTTCTAAGACATTCTCGGCGGAGCCTGTACAAACACAGGCTGTGCCAGACTTGACCCAGGACCAGCTTCCTGACGTGGGCCCTCCTTCCGCAGCCCCTTCCCCTGCCCCCCGCCCCCCACTCAGAGGGAGGGCCGGGTAACGTTGGATAGTCCGGAGGGAAGGAATGAGGCTACCAGCCCCTCACGGGCTGGCCGCGGGCTCAGGGCCCTTCCAGGCAAAGTATTTCTCTAACAGGCCGAGAGGAGAGGGCTCCCTGAAGTGTAGGCCCGACCCCTCTGCAAGGCCGGCCCATCCCCTCTGCTGCCTCTAACGTTCTCCATGCTCTTCTGGAAACAAGCCGGTGCCATTTCCAGGACACCCTCCACTTCACTGCGCTTCGCAAAAACGTGCCGAGTCCAACCTCTGGAGGCAGAGCCACTGAACCGACCAGTACAGCCAGGGGCTGCGGGGTGGAGGGCAGACACGAGGGAGGCTAATGGGAGGGAGAAGGTCCCACAGTCTGGAATGTTCTAAAAGCCATTGCACGTGCATCTTACATGGGTGAGTTGGACGGTATGTGAATTATCCTATATAATAAAAGCCTAATATGCAAATTGTCCCCTTGGGCGGTCGTTGGACCAAGAGACCGGGAATTCGACTGCTTGCTATGACGTGTGCTGACCACCAGGGGCAGCACAGAACATAGGGGGTGTCAGCAAAGCTGCACTGGGCAGCAGTGGAGGTGCTGCCAGCTCCAATGGGCCCCGAGAGCGGGACCGTGGAGCAGGTGAGCAGGTGGCACCAGGCCAAGGCGGGTGTGAGCAGAAGGGGGGCGGGGGGGGGCAGGGCCACCGCCCAGCTCCCAGGCGCTGAGGGAGATAGGGCAAATAGCAATATTAAAATATTTCTTCTAGTTATTTTCCGAGTCCCTGTCGAGTCCCTTCTCAGCTTGGTCCTGGCAGCAGGCCCCTCGGCCCATGCAGTGGAGGGTCGGGGCAGCTGGTACTGTGCGTGGCTCCCTGGAGAGAGCTGAAGTCCCTCTGCCCCACCCCCAAGGTCAGCACTGCTCCCCACCTGCCTGTTCCTAAGCCTGGGGTTCTAGTTGAGCAAATTGCATGCCGGGTTCTCAGGCCGCCCTGTGGGGCGAGGCATGTCACAGGCACCAGGACAAGGCGAGGACAGTCCCGGGCAGAGCTCAGGCCAGCAGTAGGCTCCTCGGATCCGAGGCCTGGGGGCCCGCTCGGGTAAAAGGGCAAGAGCGTGGCCACGGGGCCCACACACCTGGGTTCTGGTCGCGGGCGGCCATCTGCACAGCGGGGTGACCTCAGCCCCAGGGTGACTGGGCCAGATGAGCGGGGGCTGCGGGCTCTGTGCACCTCACTTGGTTGCAGGCGGTAGGAACGTCAACCAGGTTCTATTAGGAACGTGTTGGGACTCGGGTGTGGTTAGATCCAGAAAACCAAGTCCCAGGACCCGTTCCTTGTAGATCTAGATGGCTCTCCGTTTGCCCCGTGTGGTTCCACTCTCCAGAAAGGTCTGCCTCCTGGGAGCGCACGCCCCAGACCCGGCTCCCCGAGCTCCAAGGCCAGGGGAGAACACAGGCCCCCCCCTCCTCCCACCCCAACACCAGTCCTCAGCCGGCTCTGGCAGGCAGGGCCAGGTCCTTCCCGTGTGGAGTTTGGGGCCAGCGGCTATGCCCAGGGGACGGTGATGGTGGGAACAGGGTCAGACAGTGCCCTCCGGACCCTGAAGCCGGCTCCTTCCCCATCTCTGCAGAGGCCTTTAGGGTCACAGAAGCCCCTTAAACCAGTGGTTGGCAGACTGCGGCTCACGAGCCAGATGTGGCTCTTTGGCCCCTTGAGTGTGGCTCTTCCACAAAATACTGACTTCTGCACATGGGCACAAAGTTTCAATCGAACTGTACGTGCGCACCCGCACGTGGTATTTTGTGGAAAAGCCACACTCAAGGGGCCAAAGAGCCGCATGTGGCTCGCGAGCCAGTTTGCCGACCACTGCCTTAAACCCCCAGAACCTATCACTTCCCAGTGCTGTTCTCCAGGTTTTGATTTTTACCCGCTTCAGTCTCATTATATTACCTTTCATCCTTTTACCCTGAAGTTCCCGTGTTCCTAGTCATCCTATCTAATAAAGAGGTGATATGCAAATTAACCCTCACACCCTCACAAGATGGCTGCCTACACCAGGCCAACAGGGGGGTTAGTGAGGGGGGTTAGTGAGGGACGACCAAACAACTGAACAAGCAGGCTGCGTGGGGGTGACCTAGTGGGTGGGGGGATGGGGGGGCAGTTAGGGATGACTAGGCAGCCAGGGTTTCCTAGCCCAGAAAGATAAGCACCCTGGTTCTCTCCCTGGCCAGTGGGATTGTTTCTTAGCTCCCATTTCACTGCGGGGGGGTGGGGGGACTGTGTCCAGACTTTATGCAGGTTTGGGGTCCAACTCCTCCCCTCTTGCAGGCTGACCCCTCTCCAAATCCAGTGGGGTGTTGAGTCATCCTTGGATTTTCCCAAGGGACTGCTGCTTGCTCAGGCCTCCATGGTCACCATCTATTCCCACCCCTTCATGGGAAGCCATTACCCATCTAACTTATCGCTGTGGGCGTTCGAACGGGGAGGAGCATGTAGTCTGCCCTCCTGCAGGAGCTGCTTATGGCTCAGCCATCTCATCACAAGCCTCCTCATGTGGAGAACGACACCCCCCCAGCCCGTCCCCAAATGACGAGGCGACAACATGGATCAGGGTCTAAACACCCAGGAGGCACCAGCAGGGCAGCCTTCTGCAGCGTGGACGGAGCCCTATCAGAGTCTCCTGGTCTAAAGGGGCACCGCCATGCAACCCGACTGCCGTAGCCACAGCCACTCACTGATCAGGGCTGGGCGTCTTGCTGCGCGTTAAGCCACTAGCGGGGTCTCTGGACTGGCACAGGCAGGGCTACCGATCCTCACTGCCACCGGCCGGGGTGGTAACACCGAGTTCCAGCCAGAGCCAGGCTCTCTGGGTGGCCAGCGCCAGCCGGGCTCGGCCACCCAACTGGAAGCCGTGTTCACGTGCAATGAAAGGTGCCTCTTAATTAAGTGTATGTTGGGGGGCGGGGGGGGGACACCTCAGGGCAGGGGACACAGATCAGATGCAGTAACAGCACCTCCAGTTCACTGAGCAGGCCTGCCTTCCCCGGAAGTGGGACCGAGCCTGGTTGTCTAAAAAGCCACGGGTACCACAGGCCAGGCCAAGGGCCCAGAACCGCTGGCGAACAGGAGGCCATGCCAGCCAGATGGCGAGTGTCTGAAACGAACTGGGATGAGCTTATTACAACTGCCAGCTGCCTGGTTTCACCCCAGGATGGAGCCAGCAGGCCCAGGGAGGCCGAGCTGCCTCTCAAATACCTGAGACATTCGGACTGGCCTGCCCACCAGCGATGCGGCCCTCTAAGGTGTGGTCTGGAGAGCACGGGGGCTGGCACAGGATGGCAAGAGGGGACGTGACCGTGGGCCCCCAGGGGAGGCTGTCCTGATGGCTGAGGGTCCCGGAGCATGGCTGCCCTGAACATCCCAGCGGTGTCACCGGCCTGGCATCACACATGGAGGACATTCACCGCGTGCCTTTGGGGTGCAAAGCTCTGCCCCAGGTTCCTCCCGGACTCCTCACGGAAACAGGCCGGTCCCCAGCCCCGCCTCCAGGAAACAAGGCCACCTCCACACCTCAACACCCCCATCGGCCCAGAACAGCCCGATTTCACTCATCCCACACACGTGTAGTTATATGTGTGCAGTTATGTATTTTTAAGAGACTTCCAAATGCTTCCGACTAAAACCAGTTTCCCTTTAAACCCTCGGAGGAAGTGAACCCTCAAAGAGCAGAGCCCTGCCTCGGCCCCTCCTGTGCAGACAGCTCACGGCCAAGTTTATTTATTTTTGTTACACACACGAGGAGCACAGAATCGGATGAACTTCAGGAAACAATAACTTAAAAGCTGTGAAAGGGTCGCCTGTGACATAAATTTGTCAAGTGGACGATTGATACAATAAATGGTGAAAACCGATGATGGTACAGGCCAGTGGTCAACTGACACCCCGCACGTTAACACGTGGACCAAAGGACTGGTGTATGTCTACTGGTTGGTACTTGCTTCTCAAACAAACAATTTCTGGAAAACCCATTTTTGGAAAGCTGACTTCAGCCCTGGTTTTCCCACTTCGTCGGCGCACAATCCTAGCAGGTCACCGTCCGAGGGCAATTTGAAAACCAGTTTACAGTCCTATCCTAGACCCCAGCTGTAAGTCTTCGAGGGTCGGCCACATTCACTGAAGTCGGGAAGAAGCACCTTGAGGTTTGAGAAGTGAAAGGATAGAGCGCCACCCCCCCAGCCCGGTGCCCGCAGTCAGCACCGACCACACTGCAGGGCCCAGTGACCGAGTTAGGAGTCCCCTCCCCTCTCTCTCTACCCCAGATACTGGGCCTGGGCTACAGAAGCAAAACACAGCCCAGCTCCTACGTGGCGACAGCTGGCTCATGCTCAGGTAGGCACAGGATTGACGTTAAAGTTGATTAAAAAAAAAAAAGCACCTCAATTCATTAAAGAAAACAAAAATAGAAACGCACTCAGATGACTTTAACTTCTCTGGGTCACCGGTGAGATGAGTGGCCCCCAGAGGGGCCAACAGAATGCTTTGTGCCTGGTATGCCAGTTCAAGTTGGGCTATGTAAGGCCTTGAAGCGGGCAGTACAAACTTGGCTTACTGGTAGGTAAAGTGCCAATTTTATGTACAAATAAGTAAACTTTACAATCTGCTTGGAAGCAGCGAGGCTGACGGGTTCCCAGGGCCCTGTGGTCGGAACTGAATACTTAGCCTGCAGACCAGACCGCCATGTCCCCACAGAGCTGCTCGGAGCCACGGAGAGGTCCCGGCCGCCCGCCTGCCGGTCAGACCCAGACGGGAGCTCTCAGAGGCTCCGGAGCTCTGTCTACGGTCGCCCTCTAGCTGAGGCCACCAACAACACATCGGCTCATGCTGGGGTAGCTAGTTGTAAAGATGTCATTAGTGAATGTTAATGTTCAGCTAGTTGATAAGAACTAAAGGCACTAATGTTTTTGAAAAGGTAAAAAAAGATATGTACATATCAACAAGCTGAGAGCGGACCTTCAGTTCGTTCAGAAGTCGGCATCCAGGGTGAAAGAGTTCTCCGTCGGACTCGACATCACGCCCATCCTCTGGTACTCGCCCACCCGCTTCTCGAAGAAGTTCGTCTTCCCCTCCAGTGAGATGTTCTCCATGAAGTCGAATGGGTTTTCTACTCGGAAAACCTGCAAGGGGCCCAGCAGCACGTCAACACGGGGCGCGCACAGGAACCCGGGGTCCGAACCACACCCTCGCCCGGCGGGAGGGGCTCAGGGGTTGGGTGTTGGACCGGGAACCAGGAGGTCAGGGTTCAATTCTCGGTCAGGCACCTGCCCAGGTTGCGGGCTCGATCCCCAGGAGGCAGCCAATCAATGATTCTCATCATTGATGTTTCTCCCCCTCTCAGAAATCAGTAAAAAATATATATTTAAAAACACACACTGTACCTTGCTGAAACCCAGCTCCAGCAGGAGCCTGTCGGCCACGAACTCAATGTAGCGCTTCATCAGAGTGCAGTTCATCCCGATGAGCTTCACGGGCAAAGCCTCGGTGAGGAACTCCTAGGGCCAGAGCACAGCTACTCAGTGAACCGACCAGAGGCCGGAGACGCCCCGCACCAGCAGGGACCCTGCCTGCCCACCCCGCCCCCCGTGCACGCCGCCCACCTGCTCGATCCTAACGGCGTTGGTGATGATCTCTTTCACTCTCTGCTCCGCAGGTTTGTGTAGCAGGTGCTTGAACATCAGGCAGGCGAAGTCACAGTGCAAACCCTAGGAGAAAAGGCCGGAGGTCAGTCACTAAGGAACCAGAAGACGTCCATCATCATCATCAACATCAAAAAGTTTGCCCACCCCTGGACTAGCCTCTTCCGCATGCTCCTTCCACACCCTGCTCAGCCGCCTGAGGCACTGAGCTACTGAAATAGTTCAATGGCCGCTGCCCCCCCCCCCCCCCAGG